GGCCCTGGCTCTACTGCCTGCATGCTGCCTGGAGGCGATTCAGGCCTCATGCCTGGTTTCCATGGCAACTCCAGTTGAAATTACGTTAAAAAGAAATGAAACCAGCAGCTTTTCTGGTTGGCAAGCAGGGGGAGGGGAGCTGGGCTGGGAAATGCGGGGTGTGGGGGGGAACTCGGTAGGAGGGGGCTGTGGGGCAGATGAGATTCTACATCGGATCCCAGCGCTGGCGGGGGGGCGTCCAACAGGGCTGGGGGCATGCAGGGATCTGCCCACGGTGGCCCCCAGTGTTGGCTGTCCTGGGTCACACCGTGCTGGTTTGCATGCATGCTGTGCTGGGGGTCCAGCACCCTGACCTGCTGGGGCGGTACCGGCATCTTCCTGCTGCCTCTGCAGGGTGGGTGCCAGGGACATGGAGACCGTCTGGACCCCCTGCCAGCAGGCACGGCCATGGCCAGGGGGGCTCTGAGCCAGCACAGGGCACCCCACCCAGCCTGGGAGCCCCCGGCCCCTGCATGCTCCAAGAAGAGGCAAGACACACCGCTATTAAAAATATCACTTCTGTTTTATTTGGAATTTGTTACTCTGCGCAGGTGACAGGGTATAAATACATTCTCCAACGAGCATCCTCACCCTCAGCCCTGCCCGAGGGGTGGGGGCCAGGGCAGGGTGCAGGGCCGGGATGGGGGGTGCTCTGGCCCCAGGCAGTAGGGCCAGCCGGCACCGGTGCGTCACGGCCGCCAGCGTGGGCAGCGTCTGCCAGCCGGACCGTCTTGCACAGGGACGGGGTACAGTGTCCCCACAAGGACCCGTCCTTTCCTCCTGCCTCTCCAGGCCCCGGGTGCCAGTGCCCACTGCGGGGGGCTGAGACTGGGGTGCCCTGTGTGGGCTCCTGGGCAGCTCCTTCTCCATGCCCACCTACACCAAAGCCCTTCACCTAAAGCCCCGCTACCCACAGCTGCGTGCAGTTTGGTGGCCACCAACAGCCCAGCAGGTGCTCCAGCCCCGGGGGTGGCTGCTCCCAGCCCCATGCAGGCTGCATCACCCCCAGCAGCCCTGCTTGAGCAGGCGCCCAGGTATCTACCCTGGCCGCATGCCCTGGATCCCAGAGCTGGGGTCACCCTATGACAGGGGAAAAGGCCCCAGCGGGAGCGAGGTGGGAGACAGAGTGGTGGTCGGTGCACCGCTCACCCTGCTCCCGCCAGCCCCGCAGCACTGCCCGCCCCTGCCGCAGGCTGCAAACGGCTGGCTCAGCTTCCAGGCAGGGTGGGCACCCCGTGGCCTGGGGCAGTGGTGAAGGGACGTGGGCTGCTCCCAGGGGAGCAGGGCAGGGTGGGGAGCACTGGGACACTGTGCCGGGGGGCTGCCCTGGGTTGATGGGGGTGGGCAGACGGTGCTCACAGCAGGTGATGCCCATGTGGGGCGGTGGGTGGCACTGGCTGGTGGTGGCAGCGGGGTGGGCCAGGGTGGGGGGTGCTCGCAGGCGGGCCGTCGGGTGGGCTATTTGGCTGAGATACGTGGGCATGGGTGACAGAGGAGGGAGAATATCAAAAATACAAAAGAGGGCGGCCCCGCGGCGCAGGAGGCAGTGCCCTGCCTGGTGCCCGCCCGCGGCAGGCGGGGGCCGCGGGGGGCCGGCACCGCGTGCACACACTGGCTTCTAACTGGCTTTTTATTTTATATCAAGAACACTTGGTTTTAAAATCTTTACAAAGGACAAAACGCGGCGACTCCGTTAGTGTGTAAAGAACTAAAGATCTGCTTAAAAAATGTCTCTGCAAAGAGAAACGACTGACACAAAAGAGATTCTCTGCAGCGCAAAGAGGGGCAGAGGTGCCAAGTCTCCAGCCTGGGGCACCGCTCCCAGGGTTCCCGGGGTCCCCAAGCCCCGGCACCAGCCCCAGCGCCCGCACCCAGCACGAGGCTGAGTCCCCAGACCCTGCCCGCTCCCTCTGCCTATAGCACCATGGCTTGGGGCCACTTCTCAAGACAGTGAAGGAGCCTTTTCCAGGGCACTCGGGATGCCAAGCTGCCTGGAGATGCCCGGGCACCGGCCAAGAGGGATGCCCGGCCCCACTCCTCATCAGTCCCGGGGTGCTCAGCAGGTGGAGCGCTGGGGATGCAATTGCCCCATGGGGAGGAGGCACAGCCACGGTGTGGGGAGCCCCGTGGTTGCTGCCAGCAGGGTCCCCCCTGGCCGCCCGCACCGGTGCACGGGCACAGGGGCTACACTGTGTCTCCCCTGCACCCCATCAGTGCCCCGGGGCGACCCACAGGGCCCTCCGGCCGGGAGCCAGGAGAATCAAAGCACTTCTCAAAAGTTAAGATAGGAACAAAAGAAAGCGCTGGGGCAAGAGCAGGGCATCTGGCTGTGCCAGGACCCCACAGGTCTCCGGGCTCAGTGCCACACCGTCCGTGGGTGCTGCCCCTCCGTCCGGGGGCTCCGTCGGCCCCACCGGTCCCTCTGCCAGTGTCTGCTGCGTGCGTGTGCGTGTGTGCATGCGTGTGCGCCGGCGGCGGGCAGCTATACCCGGGTGGTGGAGTGTGAGTGTGGGAGCCCCGTGCTGTTGAAGCCGGCAGTGAAGGTGTTGTAGGGGTGCAGGGTCTGCAGCCCCACCAGCGAGTTGGGGATCATGGTGATGGTGTTGGGGGTCATGAGAGGGATGTCGTCCGGAGAGCGGCGCAAGGTGAGGGTGTAGTCGGGCAGAGCAGCCAGGCGCAGGGCGTCGTGGGGCGGCACAGCCTCGCACTCATGGTGCCCCTGGCTCACCTGCAAGGAGGGCATCTCCTCGTCGGGCGCATGAGCGATGTCGTTGGCAGCACCACGCTGGGGGCTGGGCTGCTGGTGTGTGTCCTGCCGGCGCTTGTCCTTGCGGTAGTAGAGGGCAGCAAAGGCCAGCACGTTGAGGAAGAGGAGGGAGGCGCCCACGGCAATGGTGACACTCAGCTCAGTGGAGTAGTCGCGGGGGCTCTCGAGCAGAGTGCCTGCCTCCTGCTCCGGGCTCCACTTCTCTTTCCCGTTCTCACTGTTGTAGGCAGGTGAGATGGCAGGGCGCTTGGTGGTCCAGATCTTGCCGTTGGGCCGGCGGGTGATGTGGGAGTTCTGCGTGGTGTCAGGTGGCGGCACTTTGGTGGTGGTGGAGGTGTAGTGGAACATATCATGCAGGTTGTACAGGTGTGGGACCAGGTGCTTCCAGAAAGCTACCTTGGTGGCCCGGTAGTGGTCGCGTACCCGTGGCTTCAGTCCGATGTGCAGGTACAGCTGGTCGCGGGGGTTGTACTTAGACCAGGCCACCTCCTCAAACCGGTTGGCCTTTGTATGGATGAACTTGGTGTCCTGGGGGACGGGCTTGTTGGGGTCCCTGCGAAACACAGGCAAAACAGAGCTAGCACGGGGAAAAGCTGGAGAGGCAAGGAGGGAAAGGTGGATGCAGAGATGGAGGCTGAGGGAACCTTTGCCAGTGATGGGCTGGCGAAAGGTCCTGCATGGCTGGGCAGCACCCAATCCTGGGTCAAGTCTCACCCACGACAACCACAGCCAACCAACCTCCCCACCCCTGTGCTCGGTGGGGTCCTGTCCCGAGGGCTGGCCACACTCTCAGCCTCTCACTGTGTGTTGATGCTCTGACCCCAGTGAAGGTGCAGCACACAGACTCTGTGCACGGGGGCCTCAGTGTCGCATGCCAGGAATGACACCCCCCCCTCAGCACACTCCCGAGGGATGCAGACCCCCCAGGCACAGCGCCTATTCCCACTCACCCTGTCTTGGCAAAGTTGGTCCAGTAGGTCATCACCACAGCGCTGAGCATGACATCGTTCTTAGAGAAGTTGCAGGGAAAGAGGTCTGTGGGGCCAATCATGGGGATCCCGAACACATAAGGCACCTCATCCCCATGGGCCGCGTCAGACCATGCAGGCTTCATCAGGCTCTGGCAGTGGTGGTAGAAGGCGTAGAAGTAGGTGGGGGAGCCATAGCGGGCATGCAGGTCAGCTGTCACCACCGACGGCTCTACCCACTGGTGGTCGGTGAAGAGGGCCACCAGAGTCTTGCGACGTGTCTCGGGGTTGTCCCTGTCGGCCCAGTCCGTGTACATGAACTTGATGGTTTCCCGCAAGGTGTCCTTGCCCTCCGGGTAGCCATACAGGTTGTCTACAAAGTTGGAGACTGAGTAGTCAAAGTCACTGCCTGAAACGCCATCCTCAGGGTCCACCACGCCCTCCACGAACTTCAACCCCTCGCCCTGGTTGACCCCCAGCATGATATCGTAGTTGAGGAACTCGCCCTGCTCCATCAGGATCTCTGGGTCGTCCGGGATCACATCCCCGTCAATGACCGGCCCGAAGGCCACGTGGTAGCGAGCCGGCTGGATGTCTTGCTCCACCAGCTCCTTGGCACTCTTCTGCCGCAGGCAGTCCACCATGTCCACTGTGTCCAGCACGTTGCAGCCCACCTTGTCAGCCAGCATGCTGGTGTACTTCACGGGCTGGTAGTTCACCGCCCAGCTGGAGAGCGCGGAGCCGCTCTGGATGATGGCTCTCTGGAAGAGACCTGCAAGACAGGCAAGGAGTGGAGGAAGCTCGCAGCGGGGTGAGCTGTTTCAACACCCCAGCGCTGCAGTGCAGGATGCACTGTGGAAAAGGCATCGATGCTCCTGGACCCCTGCAAGGACCCAGCACTCCAGCCTGCTCCTGGCCTTGACCCAGGCTGCGCTGCACACTGAGCCGGGCTCACATGGGGGGCTCAGCTCAGGGCCACCACGAGGGTGGCAGGGTGACAGTTGGGCACACAGTGGGTGCTCCTGGCAGCAACCAAGGGTTGCTGTGCTCCCTGAGGATCCCATTGCCGGGGATGGCCTGGCAGCCCTCTGGCCCAGCGCGGGGAGGAGAGGGGCCATGGTTGCATCGCAGCCTGGCCTTGTCGAGCAGGCCACCCCGTCCCTGCCCCTCCAAGGACTCCTGAGCCCCTGAGGGGCACATGCTGCCCCTGGCTCAGCGCCATCCTCCAGCCCAGGGTGGCACTGGCTTCACTGAGCAGCCAGGCTGCAGGCTGGCAGCAGCGGGAGGGTTAACGCCTGCTTGGGGACACTTAACCCTGCATGTCCCACCCCACCGCTTTGTCAGGGTCCCCCTCACCCCCCTCCCTGCCGCTTCCTGCCCAGCTGGGGCTGCTCGGTGCCAATCCGGCCCTGCGAGAGCACGCTGCCAGATGCACAAAGAGGGCCTTTCTGCCACCGGGAACACAGAGGGAGTGGACTTTCGCCCTGGAAAACGGGGCCACAAAGGCCCTGGCCCAGGCGGAGGAATGCGTGGCTGCGCTCCAGCCCCATGTCAATGGCGCTTGTGCGCAGAATACAAAGGGCGGCGAGGAAGTGGAGCCTCCGGGGCGGTGAAAGGCAGCTGGGCTCGGGGTGCACCCTGGGGTCCCTACCCTCCAGCCAGTCCTCTCCTGCACCCCAAGCGCTGCCTGTGCCCTCACTGGACCCCAGCACTTGCTCACCACGACAGACTGTCTCAGATGGTCCCCAAGTGGTGCTGGTACAGCAGCATGGTGTCCACAGGGCTGCCCCTGCCCCCCTGAAATGCGGAGGCACCCGTGTGAGACCCCCTGTGCAGCCAAGGCCGTGCTGCCCTGCAGGGCAGCATGCACCTTCCTGCAGCAGAAGTGTTTGGAGGCTCCTGGCTCCTGGCCACCATGTCCATAGCTCTTGTCTGCACGCACAGTCCTTGCTCTGCCAAGTACCTGACGTACAGTCCCATGCGCTCGGACAAAGAGAAGTCACAAGCTCTGTTTGTCACCTCCTGGTGCCCTAGAAAGCCGTACCCAGTCTACAGGCTGGAGACTGGCCATGGGTTTGCTTGCTCTGCACCATCATCCACGTGCCAAAGAGCCAGGATGGGGGTTCCCTGGCTCCCAGGAGATGCTGTCCCAGCAGCAGCTATTACTCCCTGCCAGCAGCATCACTTCCCAGGCAGAGGCACCGGGCTGGGCTCTGCCCCCTGCCTGCCCCTGCCTGGGGAAGCACAGGCAGCTGCTGTCATCAACAGCCTGTTACTTCCCTGATGGAGCCCCTTCACTGTGTCTCTGCACGGCCATATCCTGACCCACGAGGACCCAGTATGCGAGAGCCCAGACCTGCCACATCGTCTCCCTCCATGCCAGCACCGGCTGAAGCCCAATGAGCATCCCAGGGAGGCATCACCACCCTGCAGCTCACCCTAGAGCCCTCCAGCCTGCTGGAGCCCAGGCAGGAAGATGCAGCTCTGCTTTCCCTGCCTGTTCCCCTCTGAGGTGAGGGTCCTCATGCTCCCTGCATTCTGTAGAGCTGGCTGCCGTGGCACAGTGGAGCCAAGCTGGGACAGGGTTCTGCTGGAGGGTGCCCGGTGCTGCAGGCTGCCACCAGCTCCTGATTTCCCCTTTGCTTTGCACAGACTGGACACACCTCTGTGGTTGTCTGGGCCAAGGCTTGCTCAAAGCAGGGTGCTAGATGCCTTGTTCAGCTGAGGTCTGAGCATCCCCGGAGCTGGCAGTGAAGGGCAGCAGTCCTCACAGAGTGGGAGATAGGGCAAAGGAAGCACAAGAGGTTTGCCTGGCAATGACTGCTCCTGCCCTGGTATGGCCGGCTGGGGAGAGAGAAGCAGCACTTTGGTCCTTGGCGAGGAACCCACCCGCCTACAAGGGCTGAGGCTGGCAGGGGAGTCACGGGTCTCCCCGGCAGCCAGACACAGCGTGCGCTGCACCAGCCTCCAGCGTCTGTCTCTTGCAGCGCCTGGCAGAGCAGGCACAAATTAGCAGCTTCATTAATAGCTCTTGATTACTATGAGTTTTCTTTTGATACCATAAAAACAAACCCGCCTGGTCTGCAGGCTGCATCTCAGCACAGCTTCCCTGCCATGCTCCAAAGCCAGATGCCTTGTCCCTGGGGAGGTAGGTGCTCTGGTGCAGGGCTGTTTTTGAGGTCATTTTATGGCTTTGATGCAACACTGACTGCAGTACCGAGTGCTCCCCTCCCACCTCACGGCATTTACAGCCAGCAGCAGCTCCCCTGCCACAGCAGAGAGGGTGCTGGGCACCCAACACCGCTGCGATGCAGGGGGCACCACACACAAGTGTTGGGGCTGGGTGGGGCAGCAAAGGACATGGCATGCAGGTGCAGGGTTTAGTGGCAGAAAGCCTAGTGTCACCTGAGAAGTGCTATACTGATACAAGAGTATTTTTTGTGTCTGCAAAGTTGGGGAGCAGCCCCTCCAACTCACCCCCAGCCTCTCCCCGTGTTGCTCCCTCCATCCCAGGCCCATACATGTGGTAGGGGCCTCCTGGGCAGCCAAGCACATGGTCCTGCTTCTAAAGAGGTGTCACCATCTGGCCACAAAAAACAGTCTGAAGCCTTGGAGCTGCCTTGCCAGAAGCACCCAATCTCAGAGAGGAGACTCCTGGCCCCAGAGCACCTTTCCATGATCCCAGGCACTCCCATGATGCAGAAGAACACCCTACCAGGCATCACAAATGCATTACGCCCAGCATCCCCTCTGTGGCCTTTCACACTCAGTATGGGCAGAGAAAACCCTTTTTCTTCCTGTAGGAGCTCTTAGCCTGTAAAAGACTCCTCACCCCTGTGTCCACGCTGCCCAGGGTGCCTGCGCAGGGGCAGGTGGGCACACAGAGCCCCAGGTATCCACACAGGAATGGCACGGCCCCACACAGGCTCCCACAGCTGCAGATCATCCCCTGCTCTGCCCGCTGCTCAGAAACGAGTCCACTATGAGTGTACCCATGCGTCTTTCCTACACACTGCTCGATTTACCATCTAACACAAGAGAAGCATCCTCCAGCTTTAGCCATCCAAAGCATCTCCTGTGGGCTAGAGAGCTGCTGCCTGCTCCGCATGGCTCTGGGTAGCTGGGAATCCTACCCCAGGAACCCCAGAAGCGGTGGGGGAAGCCCCTGGTCCTGCCCTGCTCTGGCACTGCAACACTGGGAAGCAGCTCTGTAGGTGTTAACTCACATTTTCCATGTTGAACTTATTGTATTGTAATACCTGTTAATATTTGCCCAAGTCACCTGAAGAGGATGGGGCACAGCCCCAAGAACATCCTGCTCAGGAACTGGCACGGGGGGAGCGGGATGACGGAGGGGCTGGCTTCAGGCACCAGGCACTCGCGCAGGAGCACGGACTGAGCACAAGTGTTCTAAGCGCCCTTGGGTGGCAGGGTAGGAGCTTACCCAGAACAGGTGTATCCTGAGAGGGCAACAGCAGCTCCACACACACTGCCAGAGCTGGATCACTTCGGCTTTACCTCCCTTTTGGTTTCTCCCTGCTTTACTCAAATATGGCAGGGCCAGTGACAGTGATAGCAGAGCCAGCAGGCTGCAGGGCAGTTAGAAGACCAGGGACCGCCATGGACTTAATGTGAGAGTGCCCAACCTGCCAGCTTTTGGGAAGCACCACCAGGTCCAGACATGCCTCTGTTGTTGGGTCTGTGGGGCAAAGCATCCCTCAGAACTCTGGTCCTTGGGCCACCAAGGGGAGCCCAGCAGTGGGAGCAGCCACCCTGAGAGCAGGAGCACTCCGCACGGGGCGGGCTGGTCCTCTCTGTGCCACGGGCTCCAGCACAGAGGGAGCATGGGGCACTGGTGGGCTCCAGAGCCCACCTGGGATATCCCACCACTCAGGAGGCTCTGGAGCTCCTCTGCATACTCTGATCCCATGGGCCATGGCAGCCATGGCAGTTCGCTGGCCTGTCCGAGGAGAGGCTGGCAGCCAGCTGTGACCACTGGGCACACTGATGGGCAGCAGGGATGGGCAGCAGGCACAGGCAGCCGGTCAGCCCCACTCTTGTCCCTGGGAAAGGCCATCAGTGGGAAGCAGAGCCCGGCATGGTGATGGGTCTCTGCGTGGGGTGGACTCACCACAGGGCAAGTGGTTTGCCAGAATCAGGCAGGTTTAACCAAAAGGGCAGCTGAAAAATCCGGGAGAAGAGAGCTGTTTTGGGCTTGCCTTTGACTCCATGGTGAACTGCCAGCATCCTACGAGCCCTGTGCCAGGTCTGGGCTCAGTGGGTGCTGTCCTTCACTCCTACCACGAGCACAGGCTCTGTCACCTCTCACCGCAGCACCTGCAAACCTCCACATCGAATCCTACCAAGCAGACTGTGATGCTGGTGCTGGTGCAGCCGCCTTCGCAGCAGCCTGGGCTGAGATCATTCCTGCTTTCAATATCAGGGCAATCAGTCCATCGACAGCTCCCAGGGCTGGAGGAAAGCTGCTCAACTTTGCTGGCAGCCTCACCAGCACCAGTCTCCTTCCATACTCCCTCCGCCGTGCCATCAGCCCTGCTGAGGTTCTGAAGGTCTCCTTTATTCCTGTGTGCTTCCCAGGATGTTGAGGAGGGCTGCAGCTCTTTGCAACAGCTCCAACTGCAGTTCTGTGTGTGTCTGAGGTGCAGACTCACACCCATGTCCACTGTCCATACACATCCCCTTCTCCTCTGCACCACGCTTGGGGACCCAGCACTGGAAGAGGGCTGCACCCTCATATAAAGCCCCTGTGACCAAGTCCCTGGCAGGCTGGTCCTCTGTGGACCACAGTTCAGGCTTCGCTCCCGTGATTTCCTTTAGGAACTTTATCAAGAACACCTTTACTCCCTTGGTTAATTTTTTTTGCTCAGTGCTTAATGTACATGTCTTTGCAGTTGGTTTACATGCATGTGCTCTTATGCCAACACAATCTTTTAGTGTAAATAATTTCTTTCTTTATCTAGAGTAAACACTCTGCTGTATTATATAGATGTCAATCATATCACTTTCACCTGTATTTTGCTAGTTGCAGCACTTCCAGCTCTCCCAGTCTTGCAAGGTGTGACCCTCCATCCCTCCCCAGGCTTAGGTCTGGCTTCCCCTCTATTCCAGTAGGAATGTCTTCCCTAACACAGCACTGAGATCCATGCTCCTGGTGCCCTGCATGATCCTACACACCCTACACCCCCTCCACAACTGAACGTGGGTGAGCCTGGGTGCCTGGGCAGGGCGCTGCAAGGAGGGGTCCCCACCTCTCCCCACACCCAGGTGCTGACCCCGGACTGCACCCTGCACGCCAGGAGCACCAGCTCCAGCCCTGGCTCCCATGTGCGCTCTTGCTGGCCTCTCCCTGCCCACAGTGGGAAGGTTTTTGCTTCCTGGCAAAAGGTCAGGTTCTCACCAGTGACTCATTAAAAAGCAGCCCTGACTTTGCTAGGGTGGCCAGCAGTACCCAGGCAGGCTCCCTTCCCCAGGTTAGCATCAGCAGGGCGCTTCCTCGCAGCTGCATCCTTGGGCACAGCTGGCACCTACCTTCAGAGTGGTGGGAGAGGGTGAGCAGGCTGACACAGGAGGCACCGATGCCGGAGCCGAAGACGGTGATCCTCAAGGGATCTCCCCCAAAGAAGGCGATGTTCTCGCTGACCCAGCGCAGTGCCTGTATCTGGTCCAGCAGCCCGTAATTGCCCTTGGCAGCCTGGTCCCCTGTGCTCAGGAACCCTGCGGGCAAAGGGGAGCCTGATTAGGGATGAGGAAGCAGGTGGTGTCCTGACCTCTCACCCCGCTTCCTCAGGCCTACGGGAGCTTCTATGGGACCCTGTCCCACCACAACATGAGACTCCGCTACCAAGATTGTCCTGTGAGTGCTAAGCTGGAGCAGGGACATCACTGAGTTCCAGTCACCCTCTGCACAGCACAGAGGGGCAAAAGGCCGTGAGTGCAGCTGCAAGCCCTGGGGATCCTCTCCAGCCAACTGCAAGCAGTGACAGGGTGATTGGCACAAAGCCCTGTCCTACCCGGGCCACCACCTGTGCTAATAAAGAGTGAAGAAGTCTCACGCATGCTCCAAGGGAAGCTGAGAAAGCCTCAGTGGCTGCAGGCAGGCTGAGTGTGTGCACAGCCAATGCTTTCCATGGACCAGCGTGGCTCGGAGGAGGCTCTATAAATGTAAGGAGGTGGGCTGGGCAGAGACAAACTGACTGCAGCTTAAAATACAAAGGCTCTCAGTGAGGAAGATGCAGAGAAATGCTTTCAATAGCAAAGAGAACCCACAAGATAAGCTATCAGTGTTTAATTTGCTTTGACTCAAAGCAGGAAGCCAAAACCATGGTTGTAAGGTAAAATCCAGGTGGGTAACCCCGACAGCAGGGAGCGGCGCTGGCGTTGCTCCAGCACTGGAGGTGCTCTGGCTGGACATGCTGTAGCACTTCAATGGAGATGACAATGGCTCCATTTAAGTTTTAGTTCGTATTGTGACTTATGTCTCTTAAATTTGCACCTATCCACCTCAAAGGCCTGACTATTAATATTGAAAGGTCTTGAATAGGTTTGTTTTTACTGAAAAACCTATTTTCTACCAGGTAACTGCCATCTTCCCCAAGAGACTATGGGGTCTGGAGTCCGTCAAAGGGATGTACTGCCTCAGGTACCGTCTGGGCTTCTCCCTGCTACTAAGAGAGGCAGCAGTGATGCTCCAGGCAAATCTGTGTCCCGGCCTCTGGGGGTTTCTGCTGCAGCAGGCAGGGGATATACACTTCCTTTTGACCCTATGTCCTCATTTCATCTCTCTAGGTCACCAGTGCTTGTGAAAATGGGACTGCCACCCTCCTCTGTATGGCACTTAAGACCCTTTGGTGACACCCCTCTGCAGGCAACCAGGCCACAGTGGGTGGCTGTAGGGGTCCCGGCAGCAAAACCAGCTTGGAGGCAGCCCATGCCCTGGGGAGGCAGAGCTGCCAGGTCCCCAGGGCAGCCAGGCAGTACCCGCTGGCAGCTCACCGCTCCGAGCCCTCTGAGGAGGAGATGCTGGGCAAACACATTTATTATTTATTTATCTAACCGCAGACCAATATTTGCTTTCAGCTGAGCCAGGTTGTGTAAATGAGCCTGGGGGGGAGCCGGTGCCAGGAGCCAGACCACGCTGCGACTGCCTGCTGTGGGCACTGCCATGTGGCACTTCACTCGGTGACCAGGGCAGAGGGCAGGGGCCGTGCCTGCAGTGCAGCCCCCATCCTGCTGGGCCCCACGCTCCCCCCACCCCTTTCCCAGCTGGTTCAAGCCCGGTCAGCCACGGGGCCTCTTCCCACTGCTGTCAGCACAGCCCATACCAAGCACTCCAACGCGGTAGTTCAGGGTGATGACAATCACGTTCCCGTAGCTGGCCAGGACGCTGCCATCTATCATGTTCCCCGTGCCCTCCATGTATGAGCCGCCATGGATATACACCATCACCGGCTTGGCCCCGCTGTCCCGGATGTCTGGAAGGAGAGGCGGTTAAACACAGGACCCTGCCAACGGCTGCAGCACCCTGCCCGACAGGCAGACAAAGGACAAGGGCAATGCCAGCTGCCAGGACCAGGGAGGGGGCTTAGGAGCCAAACCCAGCGCTCCCCTGGGGGCCACAGTGTGGACCTCCAAAGCTGACCACTACTGAAATAACCCCACCAGCCCCTCTCTGGGTGGCAGCAGCCGCTGTGCCGTCCCCACACTGCTGTCCCCTCAGGGGTCTCAGAACATGTGGGAGAGATGCTGGCTGGACCCAGCTGCTCTCCCCAGAGTCGGGCTCTGGCCGCATGTGGAAGCCAGACCAGCGGCACCTCCACTGCAGGAGGGAATTGCAGAGTCCAGCCCTGGGATGCAGCGCCATGTCCCATTTTTGGCTGGACCCAAGCCCTTGGCTCCAGGAGTCCCAGAAGCTGGCATTGCAGGGGGGCAGGGATGGGGGTGTGCAGGACCTGGAAGGGGGGGGGGCACTGGTGGGTGCTCCAATGTCTGACTCTCCCGCAATCCCCTTTCCATCCCCCTGGGAAGGCAGAAACCTGCCAGCTGCCTGGATGAGAACCCATGGCACCCCAGTGCCCAGACACAGACATGGTGATGAGGCAGACAGTGTGTGCACGTGTGCGTGTCAGGAAAGTGAGCACGGTGTCCAGATAAGGACAGGGCATGAGGCATGGAGTGAGGATGGGGAATGGGACCCCGAGGGCCGGGGAGGAAGGACTGCAGGAGCCTAGGGGATAGGGAGCAGCCACACTTCCTCTCTCATCTGGCCCTGTCCGGGGGACATCCTGCCCCTTCTGCCCCACTGGCCTGGGTCCCCTCATGGAGCCAAGCCCAGGTGCAAGGGCAGAACACCCATGCTTGGCTCCTGGTACATCTTGCCCATGTTACATGGAGGAGACAGTTGCATCCATTGTGGAGACGGTGCCAGGTCCCACATGCCTGAAGTGCCCAACGCTCTCCTGGGCTGGCGAGCCAGCATCGATGGACTTTGTCCTCTCTCATGCTCATCCACACCCAGCGCATTGCTCGGGAGGGCTGACATTGCCTGCTGGGGCTGCTCGGCCCTGGCTGCCCCCGGCCAGCCGCTGCTCTCTGCCTGCCTCCCTCAACAGTGCACTGCGCCGTCCCGGCAGCCACCCCACCATGGTCCCCACAGGGCACAGCCACACCAACTCAGCAGGGATGCCTGGCCAAGATGGACATGCTCCCTTGCACCCACCTAACCCTTGCGCACGTCCACTCCTCCCCACAGCTTGCCCATCACAGGCAGCTGCAGGTGCCTCTGGCCGTCCCCACCTCTGGCTGTGGCCTGTGGTATGGCTAAGGGTGGTCTCCCTTCCGTATAAAAAACCTCTTCCCTTCAGGAGAATGCCAGGATATGGCAAAACCTGTGATGGCTCTTTTCCTGTCGCCAGGATACAAACCTGGGGAGCAAAAAGTGCTCACGGTTCCTCTGGGACAGACACTGCCTGTGCAGCAGAGCTACGGCAGGACAACTCTTCCCAGGGCCACCTGCTTGAAATGCGAAGGGCAGAAACACTGGTGCCTGTGCCTGGGGCCTCTCATCCCTGCTACACGTTCCCACCGACACACAAAGGGACATCCTTGCAGCAGGATGGCAGCAATGTGCGGAGACGTACCAGGGAATAAACAGCTCCTAATAGCTGCAGCGCATTTTAGTGTGTGAGGATTTAACACAGTTGAGACAGGCTGAATGCCAGTTTACGCCCTGGTACAAGAGATCCTGGGGCACAGGTTAGTGGGAGGAAACAATGGGGTTTTGGTACTGCCAAGGAAAAAGCTTTTCATCTGTTTCCCAGATCCTAAATGCCATCTGCCAGGCCATGCTCGAGCTGCCCTGGGACTCCTGCACACCATGAGGTTTTACTGTCTTCGGCATGTTAGGGCTGCACCCTGGCCGACCCTTCCTCCTGCCTCCTCTTCACATCCCTTCAGCCAAACACACCAAATCCATACCCTGCAGATGGACAACCCTGTTTTACTAAAAATAGCTTATTCTGCAGCCTGCTTAGCCCTGGCGTACAGAATCCCATCCACTGGAAAGCCCACTCTTTCTGCCTTGGCTGGTGCTGCTGCTCTGGTTGCAAGCAAGACCTTGCTTGTGTTGGGTGGAGAAGGAGAGAAGTTAACAGAAACCACATCTGAGAGGATCTGGGGTCTCCTGGGCACAGCCAGGTACCCTGCAGGTGCAAAGGGTGCCATGCTGCTGGCATGGCCACCCTGCAGCAGTGCCTGCAGCGGGGCTGGGCAAGGGTGGAGGGGGAGGTTGCTGGCTCCCAGCTGCATGTCACCGACTCCGGAGGTATGAGGCTGGAGGTGGGATGTGACCAGGCTCGGGGTGAAATGGGCCCAGGTGCCCGAGGGCTACTCTCCTCCCAAGCTGCCATGCTTCCTCCCTGCCCTCGCTCAAGCAGAGCGAGAGCAAACTTCTCCTAAAGCAAAAAACCCCCCATGAGCTTCCCCCCCAGTCCCGAGGAGGGGAAGGGCCTGGGCGCCCTGCACAGCCGGCCAGCCTGCCCCCCGCCCCGCGCAGCTGCCTGGCACGGCAGACGGACACACACAGGGCTCCCTGGGGATGGCAGCGGATGGCGGGCAAACAGAGTTGCTTTTGCATGTCATGCAGTGGCAGGCTCGAGCACAGAAATACCTTCATCTTCATCACCGTCATTATCCGCTAAGTCCTCGCCCTGTTTCTTAGCGCTGGCTCCTAGGGACCAAACACGAGGAGACAGAACAAAAAGAAAAAGAAAAACAAAACAAAACAAAAAAAACAACAAAAGAGAATTCAAAAATAGCATGATAGCAGAGACAGTGGGGCCAGGCTTGCGCCCCACAGCACTGCTGGCTACTCACACTGCACCTCTCCCAGAGCCAGGGCGGTGCAGGGCGTGGGCAGAGCTGCCCCAGGAGCTGCGCCAGGATGCTGCTTCACCTGGACACCTTCCCAGGTCCTCCCCAGGGAGCGTCAGGGTGGCAGGGAGGAGGAGAGTGGGTCTGGGGCAGCATCAGCACCAGCGGTGGATCGGTCTCTCAAAGCGCTTGCTGATGCTCCTGCATCCCAGCCTGGCCCCCGCCTGCTTGCGCACCCTCAGCTCCCTGTGCCGGAGCAGGGCTCCCTCTCCTACTGCCCAGGTGCAAGCAGGAGCCCTGCTCCCAGCTCTGCTCTCACCGGGGACAACCATCCCCTGCCACCAGCAGAGCCCACGTGAAGGGTTGCCCTGGGTGGCCACTGACCACCGGCCAGGGTCCTGCCCGTCACCCCCACACGGTGCACGGCCCTTTGTAGTGCCTGGCACAGCTACGTCGCAAACCACCGGTGCTGCAGCATGAGACCACCGCGGCACACCGCAAGGAGCCATCGTGATGGGCGCTTCCCTGTGCTGCTCGGCTCGGTCCTGTACCAACTCCCTTCTTAAAAGACTAGTTGCATAGTTCACTGAGGATTGCAAAGGCACTGACCAGCTTGCCCTGACCAAGGCAATACCCGAAAAATATCAGTTTCTGTAACACCCTGAATGCCTTCCAGTCATTGCATGGCCCTTAGCAAATCCGTGGTGCCAGGGCATGGGCCAGACCAGCAGTCTCAGCCTGGCACTGTGGGATGCTGTTGTGAACAGCGCGCACCAAGCACGGTGCTTCCCGAGCTCCACGCAGCCAACGTGGGCTGGGAGAGGTGGCCTGTGGGCTGGTGGGGGGCAGATGCAGCACAGACCTGGAACGAGGCCCTGTTTCTGCAAAGGGCTGTGTGCCCTTGTGGGCACAGATCTGAGTGGTGCCATCCCTGCACCCTGCAGTCCTGAATTTCAGAAAGAGGCTGTGCTTGGAGCTGCAGATCAGCACCTGTGGTCCTCTGCTCCCTGATGCCTGCACCACAAAAGTTCCCTGGGTGATGGTGACCTCAGGGGTGACAGCAGGGTTTCCCCCCGGCAGGACTGCCTGCACTGTGCCTGTGCTGTCCAGTGACCTCCCTCAGATGCTCAGGGCACTGAGGTCCTGCCAGGCCATTCTATCTCCACTGCAGCCTCCAGCAAGGCTCCCACAAGTGAGGGGCAGCTCCGCAGCTGGATGAAACTATGACAAGATGAGCACAAAACTGCCTAGGAAGACAAAACTGGGGAGTCATCCTCACTGCCACTCTGGGAGTGGGATCCCACAGGTGACATGGGTGCTGGATAATAAAGATGGCAGCATGGAGAGGGGAAAAAGTCTGGAGGAGCAACAACCAGAAGTCTAGAAAAATCCAGCAGGTAAGAGAAGTTTGCAGGAGGCTGGGTCCTGCAAATCCTGGGAGCAGAGGAGTGATGAGAACTACAGCACCATCCTGACACATGAAAGGCCCCTGCGGTGAGGTGGAAGAGCAGCTCCCTCTCCACTGTGCAGAGCACAGGCAGGCCTGGAGCTACACGAGGCAGGTTGAAGCTGGATGAAAAGAAAACCTTCCTGGCAGAAAGGGCAGGAAACCACTGGAAGAGGTGGATTGGGGAGGTGTTTAAGACCAGGTGAGACACAACACCAGAAAGAGGTGAGGTAGAGCTGCTCCTGCCTGGGGCAGGGATGGATCAGCTGTCTCCAGAGCCATCCTGATTTTCTCCAACTTGGAGTTCACCTCCTGACCTACCCCTTCCATGACCCAGCCCTGCCTCGTTGCCACCTGCTTCGTGACCTAGCCATCCCCTGGGCTCCTCATATCATTCTGTTTTCACCCAATGTCACCCCATCTCTGCCACCTCTTGCCCCAGCACCCCATCATCCCCCCTTCCTCCTGCGTCCTTCCTGCACACTCCCTCCCCAGACCACCTGCCAGCTGAACATTCGGCTGGGCACGTGTGGCTGCCCAGCCTGTTTGCAGGAGGCTGCAAGCTTGACCTACTGCATCTTCATCAGGAAGAGCTGCAAGCCCAGAAAGCACTTAAATGACTAAGTACTCATGCAATATTTGCTAACTGGTGCTATGTGCCAACCTCCTTGGTATTGCTCAGGGATAGGGATTTTTCTCTAATGAAGACCACAGGCAGTGAGCCTTCATCTGCACCGTGCTTCAGAGCTGGGAAGCCAGTCACAGGCAGCTGGAGATTCCCTCCCACTGCCGAGGGCCCTGGTGCCATTAAAGCCCTGGGACTAGCCAGACTGCAGCTCTCCAGCCTGGTGTCCTTCAGGGGACAAAGGTCTCCATGCAGACAGGAATGAAGGCACCAGCTATGAGGAGCTGTCAGGCTGTAAGAGAGGGCAGTGGACAACATCCCTATTATCTGAGCAACTGTCCTGGCTGAGCAGGGAGGGATCCATCTGGAGAATGCCTCCCCAGAGCTTAGAGATGGCTGGGAGAAGCCTGAAGCAACCTGAGCTTCACGCACCACAGAAAGGACAGTAGAAAGCAGTGCTGGGAAGCTAAGCAAAGCAGGAGCGCAGTAACGCACACCAGGGGGAATGGGAACAGTGGTGGTACACGCGCATGGTAGATGCAAAGCACGAGCCTTTCCCATCGGCAGAAATGTGCCAGGGTGGCTGGGGTTATGGCCAACACAGGCTGCTGTGACCAAGAGGGCTTTTTGCCTCTCAGTACATTGTTCACCTCCACAATGACCCACTGATGCCCCACAGCTTGTGAGAGCAATTACAGCTTCGCTTCCCTCAGCCATCCTTTGCACATTGCTCCATTACCTCCCTCCACCGGTTATTGCCATGTTCAAGGACACCCATCCCAGGAGATCTTCCTCCGCGCTGGCAAAGGCCGCCACGCGGAGTCCTGCAACTCTCACAGGGATGGGTTTAAGCTTGTGGATTCACAGATGAAAAAAACAAAAGGACTCATGGCTCTTCCTCTCCTCACCCATCAAAAACTCCCTCCACTAACCCGTGTGAATGCCTGTTGTGCCGCTTCACTTTAAGCCGACTGCAAAGTGACATTGTTCAGGCTGATAGGGAGGATGCATACGCTCTTATCTGAAGGCTCTAGGAAGATTTAAGCTCAAGTTCAGTAAAAAATAAAATCGCTTTCCCTGAAACAGGGGCATCCATGCCGGATTTATGCTCTCTTAAGTAAACCATGCCAACAGCACTGACACCAGCACAAACAGAGATAAAGGAGGGCAAGGAGCCTCAGTCCTTGGAGCCTTTGTGCTCAGCATGGTGTGGCTAAGAGAAGAGCAGGAGCCTGAGACGACACCTTTCCGGATCCAAATGTCTGCTCAGGGTGGCCGCGGGCAGCCCCAGCACCCTGTCCTCAGTGCAAGCTCCCCGGGAGACCCTTTCCCACACAGCACCCACGATGCTGCAGGGAGCTGGAGCTCGCAGCAGTGCTGCCACCATCTCTGGTGGCCACATGCACCCAGAGGTCCACATGCCGGTGGCCACACCAGCTCAGGTGCTTCTCCAGGAGCGACAAGTGATGGGACAAGGACTGATGACAGCTGTTGAACCTGCTGCTGCACAACCCCACGGCAGGGGCAGCTCCCCTGGGACCTCTGTCGGGTGGCCCCTCTAGCCATCAGCCCTTGCTCCAGGACTGCAGCACACCTCGGTGCTGCCCTGCCTCTCCCTGTGCCTGGGTGATGCAGAGGAGTTATCTCCATCCTTGAGCACACTCCATAAAAGCACTGCATCTTCTCATGCTCTGCTGCCTCTGCCAGCACGAACACCTACCCTCACCTTTGCAAATTGCTCCCCAGAGCAGAAGTGGAGCACCAGAGCGGTGGACTGCTCCCAGCCAGCTGTGCAAGGCAGCAGGCTATGCAGGAGGCTGCCGAGAAGCCTTCCAGCGAGGGAGCACTGCAGAAGTTGTGCAGCCATAGGGAAGCCTCAGCCAGCACTCAGACAAGTTCACTTCTTGCAGAGCAGCGGAGAAGCCGCAATGCTTTTCCCACAGAGCAGCTGAAGCGCATCCCGAGCCCAGGAGCTGCTGGGAGCTCCAGCCACCCTCTCACAGCAAAGCAAAACGCTGGACTGGCACATATGTTCCTGCAGCATCGCAGACTCCGCACAGCACCAGCCAGAAAGATTAGGGCAGTCGCTAGTAAAAACCGGTGAGGATTGCTATGTGCAGAGCAGCCACACTTTTTCTCTCCACCTCCTCATGCCCTGCAGCAAGGCCTGCCCAGGCTGGTGGTAAAGGGAAGGGGAAAGCATCCCGGCACCTGCCACAGCCCAGCACAGGCTTGAAGTGTTGGCGGCACAAAGCAAAGGGCAGAGCTGCGTTTTGCACATAGGTGCTGTACCATGTGTGTGTACATGTTCTTCAGGTGGGCAGCATTATTTTCACAGCAAAATCTGAGCCTCAGCTGATCCTCGGGGTGGTCAGCTCCCCTGGCACCCTGCATGGCTAATTATTCTCAAAGCACTGCTGCCCTGCCTTGCTCCCAGAGAAAGGACCAAAGTGTATGAAGGACACTGGCATGTAGGAAATTTCCATATAGAGAATTATTGTGGGCAGCCGAGCAGGGAAAAAGGGATGTTTTTCCATCGCAGGGATAAATTCTGATAAATCTCAGTCCTTTGGCTGCTATGAAATACACTGAACTTAGGGGTGACAGAAACCATGAAAATTCCAATGAAGTGGGAGCCGAGGCATTTTGAACCACAAAATACTGCACAGTTGCCTGCTCTGTGAGAGGACAGCTTATTCACCATTCATATGTGGCCTTAGAAATAATAACCTAGAATATTCCAGAACAAGCTGATGTTCAATGACACACAGCCCAAGGAAATCATCACTGCAGGTATAATATCCTCACCCCAGGCATTACTAACCCAGGATACACGACGAGGGGCAGGGGACCCTCCATGTCTCATCATAAGTAACTCAATTAATTTGAGCCAGTGGCCACGGGAGTCATGGCTGGAGCCAAAGGGCAGCACCAGTGTCTGGGTGCTTTAATTCCCAGCACGTCACGCCTGGATGCTCAAACAGCCAGCACTGGGGATCTGCTGGGCTGTAAGTCAGCAGAGCCCGGAGGGGGCAGAGGGCATGTCCCTCACCAGCTCCCCAGGAGGTGACCAGAGGCAACCTCAGATGGGCTGCAAAGAAACCCTGCCCATGAGCAGAGCCGGTGGGGAGGGAAAACCAGGAGATGAGCACACCCAAGGTGTTTCGCCATGCTTTATGTTGTCCCCCTTCTCCAGCCGTAACCCAGAACCTGCTTCCTTGGCCCCAGCCGTAGGGCTGGGGGCTGCGGGGGTCCGCCAGCCCCAGCAGCCGGTGGGAGGGCCGGGAGAGGAAGCGCTTTGAAGTGGCTGGTGATCGCTGGCACAGCCGGCTCCGGAGGCAGCGTGTGGAGACTCCCTAATGCGCCAGCCCTTTCAGGGGCAGCCTTGGCACTCAGAGAGATGGCGTGTGAATAGCCAGGACAGCAACAGGAAAAGCAAAGCAAAGAAACCCAACAACAGAACTGGGGGAAATGGCTGGAAGGAAAGCGCTCCCCAAACCTCCAAGCCCAGCTGCGCCAGCCCTGCCAACCCCAGGGGCGCAGGGAGGCGGAGGCTGGGATGCAGGGACCCCTCTGCCGTGGGATGCCCAGGACAGCAGTCCCTGCCCGCCAGACACCCCCTCTCTGCACTGAGCTTTTCAGAAGAGCTTGGCTGCCCGACCGCCTGCACATCCAGCTTTGGGATTCACAGAGCAGCCCAAGCTCTCCCTGTCTGCAACGAGGCTGTGTGGCGGGACGGGAGAAGCATTGTGTCTGACAAGGGGCTGAGCCAGCTCCTGTTCGCACGTCTTCACTCCCTGGCCCATGGCGCTGGCTGAGAACACAGAATCACTTGCCCCAAAGTGCAGCAGGATGAGCCCTGCGTGACCCTGGGGAGGGAGGCAAGGCAAAGCAGAGATGTGTCTGAACTAGAGGTGCTTGGCCATCTGCAGGGTGGCTGGGGCTCGGGGAGGATGCTGTGCCAGGGGGTGGAGAGCAGATCCTCACTGGCAGGGCTGGCAGAGGCATCGGGGTCTCAGCAGCAGGGAGCAGCCTTGGTGCGACCATGGGCTGGGGCAGAACATGGCAGCATGTACACAGCCAGGAGAGGTTTTACGCTTTTAACCAAGGAGCTTTGGATGCAAAATGACCAGGGATGCAATGGGGGAAGAGCTCTGCCTAGGATGGGCTGCAGTCTCCCACCACACAGGTCCGTACACCCCCAACGGGGGATACACCCCTAAGGGATGGGTGCATTTAAGTGCTTCCTGCCATCAGAGGTTCCCCCTCACACCCAGGGGCTGGGAGGCTGCCGGTGCCAGCAGAATGAAGGCGGGAGCACGGGCTCAGCTCGGGAGAAGCTGTTCTCAATGGCCTGGAGCAATGTGAGCATCCTCCTCTGACATGACCCCAGACCTACACTCCCAGCCGGCACTGGTCCCAGCGACCCCAGCTGGGGAGCAGAGGTGGACGGAGCATCTGCGGGGCTCCTCTGAGCGGAAGATGGGGGGTGGCAGGGTGGGCTGCTCGGAGGACCAGTGGTCTGGGTGACAGCACAGAGAGGTGCCGGAGGAGCATGCCGTGGGCCGAGGGCCAGCCAGGCACCCTCTCACTCTCTCTCTCTTTCCTCTCTGTGCCTCTCTGCCGGTCGGCTTGCTACATACCTCCTTTCCTACATATTTTCTTGTTGGGCTTTCGGGTGCATTCCTTGGAAATCCGTTTTACTGTAAAATGAATAAAAGACTACAAAATAACAGGAGGCTCCACTGGCGGGAGTGGGCATGCAATCACAACCACGCTGCCGCCCTCCCGCCACCCCTGGGACCGCGGGAGGTGGGGAAGGAGTGTCGCTGTGGGAGGAAAACTCTGGGCCAACCGTGCTGGGCAGGAAGGAAGGCACGATGCATCCCGTGGCCAAGGGCCCCAGGGACAGAGGAGTGGAGCCAGCCAGCCTGGGAGAAGTCACCGGCCTGCCAGGCTGCTCTGCCACGCACAGCAGACCCGCTTCAGGTCCCTTCCAGCCCGCTGAAAATCCCCGGGGGCTCCCGTTGCAGTGAGGCTGGGGTGGGCACATGGGCAGGCACTGCCTCCTCTGCCCTCTACTTACAGTTCAGGTGGGATCCCCTACAAAGGAAAAGGTTAGACAAGGAGGCACCCAGCGCCGCTCAGCCTCACCCCAACGGGACCATGCCCCGCGGGTCCCCGGCACCCCAGGCTCATCACTCTGCCACCATCCCGCTGGCAGACAGGGGAGCAGCCAAGCGATGTGCCTGCCAGTGCCCCCAACCTCCCGTCCGTACCAGGGCCCAGAAAAGGGCTCCGTGGTCCCTTCCTGGCTGGAGCATCTCCCCAGGGAGAGGCAGAGAGTGTTCCTCCCAGCCGCAGCCGCAGCCCATGCCCACAACTAGCGCATGGACCTGGGGAGGGTGGGAAGGGGGGAGGAAGGACGAACCCGAACCAACTCAAGACAGAACCTGGCACTCGGCGCCTGGGGAGCACAAACCAGCTTGTCGCTCTGTGGATCTGCGGTCAGAGAGTCGGATTCAGATTTAGCAACACAAGAGAGGAACCCGTGACGATGCCATGGAGGTGGAGGTGGGGGACTGGGAGGTGTGGAGGAGCAGGAGCACGCGAGACAGAAATGGCAGCTGAGGGCAAGAGGGCGAGCTGCGTGGCCAGAGAAAGCTTTCCACAAACAGACAGCATGCTGCAGGGTCCACAACCACATGCTTCAAACACAACACCCAGGTGAGACCAACCACTGCTAGGGGAGGGCGGAGTGGCCCCCCCCCGCCCTCCTGCGGGCACCCCAGTGGGGACTCACCATCCTCCGTGGGGATGTAGATGTTGAGGTACAGACAGTCCTCGTTGGGGTCCTGGATGTACGTGGCCACAATATCCAAATTGGAGGTAAACCAGATGGGCAGCATGATCTCAGGAACAGCGTTGTGGATGTTCTGGGGGCAGACTGGCGAGAAGTGGGTAGCGTTCCTGATGCCTGACCAGGATGGTGGCGGCTCAGGGGGCATGAACCTCTTCTCCCCAATGGGGGGGGCAGCATAAGGCACCCCCAGGTACTGGTCCACAGGCCCCAGGATTTCGCTGGGCAGTGGCACGCGCACCCCCCGTAACTTCCCATAGTGCGTGTTGACAGTCGGCGAGTAGACCTGGCCCTCCATCCGCACAACTGCCGAGGCGAAGCTCAGGACCCAGAGGGTGAGACGCAGGTCCCAGCCGGCCACCAGCTCAGGCACTTGGAGAACAGGGGGCAAGAGAGGGCTCCTCCAGAGTATCAGCCACATCGTCCGGGAGGAACAGCACCAACATCCAGGCCTGAAGCTCCTGGGGCGAGGGCTCAGGGCATCCTCATCATGCCAAGCCTCTGATTTGCCCACTGGCAACAGACGGAGCAGGAGGGACAGAAGTCAGGAGCGCGCAGCCCAGCCACACCTTCTGCTGGGTGAGTTGGGAGCACAGGTGCAGGGAGATGTGCCACCGCTCCTCACAGCCTGCCAGCTGCCTGCTGCTGCCCGCCTACCAATGGCCCGGCTCGGAGTGGACTGCTGATACTGTGGAGAGATGGAAGGAATTAACAGCAGACTTGCTCTGGGAAGAATCAAAGAGTTGCAGAAGGAGCCAGGATCCCTGGCCGGACCCTCCCACCCATGGGTGCTCGTTGGCTCTGCCACCGCCCAGGCAGGCAGCTGTGGGAGTAGGCAAGCATGGGCTGCACGAGTGGGTGCAGACACAAACCCTGCGTGTGTCCACACCTGCAGCGCCTGTCCCCAGCGCCTGGGGGCCAGCCCTGCCCCTGCCCCGCCCGGGTGAGCCCCGCAGCTGCCCTGGGCAGTAGGACGATGTCCTTGCCCCATGCTGCAGGACGCTATCAGCAGCAGAGTATGGGTGCCAAAATAACCAGGATAGTGACACTTGCCTGGCACTGTCCCACCTCTCAAGGAACCTGTCGACACCACTGCTGCCCAGCATGGCCCCTCCACAAGAGCTCCCTGCATCCCTCCCCTCCTGGCTGAGCTGGAGCCGCCCGTGCTCCCGCCCCACACAGTCTGTGCTCCTCAGCTCCATCCCAGCATCGATCCCCTGCCCAGGTGCCACCACCCCACCTCACACACCTGCAAATTAGACCCACGTGTCCCACCCAGACACTCATCACGCCTGCCCACACGCTCTCCAGCCAGCTTTCTCCCTTCCACGTGCCACTGGCCAAAGCGGCGAGATCCCGAGGCCCAACCCGGGTGCTGGGCAGGCAGAAGCATCTCTGGGCTGTGTCCCCCCTGTGCTGGCACCACAGACTCCCTGCCACCCCTCACCTCCCCGGCTGCCTCCCAGCCACACAAGGAAGCCCCAGGGAGGCAGAATTCTGCTCCCATGTCCCCACACCGGGCTGTTGGCAGGGAGTGGAGCAGATGTGGCAGCCCCCCGTGGGGTTCTCAGGGAAGGGAGGGATCTGCAGGCAGCAGCAGCTGCAGATGGGGACCTGCGGATGTGTGTCAGCGAGCAGAGCTCCTGCGCCAGGGAGCCCTTGCTGGAGGCTGTGTGGATTTTCAGTGCTCTGCCCTTCACCTCCCTGCACCGGCTGCTGCATTCATGGCTTATGCAAGTGGCCCCCCCGCCAGCACCACTGCTCCTGGGGAACCTGGGCGAGGGGAGCCACAGAGGCTGTGTTTGCCCGCTGTTCTCCCTCACCCTGGCTGGGCGAGAGCAGCGTCAGGCAGAGGCCAGCTCCACACCTCAGCAGGCTGCTTTGCAGCCCAGTCCCCACTAAAAGGCACTGCCTGGTGCTGGGGCAGAGGATGCTTGTCCTTTCTCAGCCACATGTCCTTACCCTGGGAGAGATGGCAGCGGTGCCCAGGCACCTCCATTTTGCCCCAGAGCATCTTCACATGCCTACTCAGTAAATCTCTCCTAAACTCAGAGGGGAGCAGAGTTGCCTTGGAATTATTGGAGCACAAAATAAAGGCTGTATGCTGATGGGAGGACGTGGCTCTGGTGGGGGCTCAGCTGGGCAGGGACTCCACGAATGGAGAACACCTCATCCAACGAGGAAAATCCGCAGAGAAAAAAAAAAAGAAAACAACAAACCCACAAAACAAAACCACAGAGGGCGTCTCAAATCTGCACTGCACATGTGCAGGCAATTCACTGCTGGTCATTAAGGAAATGGGCCTGTGCTGTGCCTGCCCTCCTGGTACACCCAGGGAACACAGCAGGCTCAGAAATCAGGGTATGACAGGCATAATAAGAAACACTCAGCCCAGAAAATCATGTTATTGCATCCAGCCCACCTGAGAAATGAGGCCTCATAGGGCTGGGCATGCAGGCACCTTTCCAGAGCCCACAAAGGGAGCGTAGGTAATGCCAGACAAGGAGGGTTGTACAAATGATGGGGAGAAGCAGTTGCACCGACTGCCCCATCCATGGCACAGGGATAACATGAGGGCTGAGCTGTCATGATTGAGGCTGATCCTGCTCTATCCCCGACCCCCATCACCTCTGCGCATCATTCCCCTCCGCTTCCTCCTGCCCCACCAGGCAGTGACAGAAACGCACCTGGTGGGAGCATGACACTGCTCCATTATACCCCAGACATGTAAAAACCTAAGAAACAAAAGGTGTATCGAGGGACAGAAATACAGCTGAGGTGCCCAGAGACCCCAAGCTCTGCTCTGCCCCACCGCCTCTGAAGCTGCCTCTGCAGCGCAGTGCCTCAGCTGCCCCGCTCTGCCTCCAGGCTGGAAGAAAGCCATCATTCATCTAAAATTCCTTGCAGCAATGCTCCTCCTTCAGCAGAGAACTGACCTTTGCCTATCAGTGACATCCCAGGGGTGCAATTACCGCCCAGGATCCCCCAAAGCAGTATTCCCAAGTGGGATCTCAAAGGTGCTTCAGACCTACAGCTCTGCCTGACACTGCTGGAAGGCAAACTGCTCAGTGCAAATCTTCTGCTCAGGTTCCTTCGGGTACTACGGGTTAGGATAAAGCCAAATTATTAATGACTGTCATATCTAATTTGTATGACTGGAAGCTACAGGCAGCTTCCAGTTTTTATGATAGTGCCCACAACTCCCCGCAGAGCCACTTCAATCGACCCGTCATCATTTTCCCTCTGCAGGAACACCACAGCCCTGTCAGCAGTGGCTTACCAGCCGATTTCCCGATTCGAGAGCTTCCTCGGGGCTGCGGCCACATGCTGCCATGGGCACTGCTGCTCCACCAACTTCTCCAGCCAAGCGATTTCACAGCACCAGGCAGTGCTGCTCCACAGCCCACAGCTGCCCGGCTGGGCTGCGCACACCAGTCACTGCAAAATTAGGGCTGAATTCACCACCCACTTCGCCTCCTTGGAGCGGCCACACACCCAGCATAACCACCCTGTCCTGGCACAATGAGGAATGCCTTTTTACAAAACACAGCCAAAAATCAGCTTCCTGCTAGAGCTCCTTAGAAGTACGTTATGATGATATTCCTTTGGGTTTTTGTTTAATCCTCATCCATGGTTCTTTTAATAGCTTTTAAAAACCATGGATAGCTGAAGACAAAACCCCATTAGCTAAGATAGAATTAAAGTTCCAAGTACACATCCTTAACTAAAATGAAAGGATGCTACAGGTCTTGCAACTGTCTCCAATCACGAGTTTTATGAAGCATCAGGCATAGAAGTGAGTTATGTTAGCAGTAGCCAAATATGTCCAGATATGGAGATGCACAGTCAAGACCCAGCAGCCCTTACATTACCCTGGAGAGCCACAATGCCTTAACAGTCAAATCCAGATCACAGCATTTTAACAGTTGTAATTCCACATTTGGTTCTATCATCTCTGAAGACTTTTTCCCTCCATCTGCCCATGTCCCTGCAGCACAGAATAAAAGCACCCAAACAATCTCAGTGACATGCTCCTAAGCCTTCCTATGTTTGAATTGTTTTTCAATTACAAACCCCCAAACCAATGCAAACCCTACATCTGGAATTCCCTGGGTTTCAAATGCCTCATTTGGGATGATTACAATACCCCTGTATCACATCTTATGCCCTCATATTGCTGTTCTGTGCTCTGCGCTTTCTGCTGTAACGTCATGTTAACATAACATTTAGGATGGGAATTTAGCCTTAATTTAATATTGACAGACTGCCATGAAAACCCAAGCTCAACCCCCTTCACCGGGGGCTGTTGCATGCGCCTTGCATCACAGCCTGCTGCCTCAACAGCTCTTAAGCTTTCCCCTTGGTCTTTCAAAGCGTGCAAAATAACCGGGAGATCTGAGAAAAGACATTTCGTTCAGGGAAGCAATTCCCCTCGCATCCCACGGGTGGTGGAAGCAAAACTTCCCCAGTTTTGCCGCCTACAGCGCTCCCATTCTTCCCTCCAGCAGCGAAGCCAAACATGTCCCCCAGCAAAGATGGCTGCTGCCTCCCTGCAGCCCTGCGCCAGGAGGAGCCGTGCCTGCCAACTGGAAGGGAAACCAGGCCGGGCTGGGCAGATACGGCCAAACTGGGGATGCTCAGACAAGCGCACAGCGAGGAGCCGGGAGGATAAAGACACCGCAGGCATCCCAGGTCGCTCTGCCAGACTGCCGGTGGGGTGAGCAGAGGAAGTGAGGCTGCTAGCTGTTAGGGATGTTATTCATCTGCTTTGGAAAACAAACGCTCTATCGGTATTTCCACGGCCGTACTGTCTGCCAGACGGCTCCCTCCTCAACAAGGAGACATTCTCCATGGAAACCTGGGCGGGCGGGATCCTCTGGAAGCCTCCCTCGCAGATGCACAGTCAGGCGTCTCAACACCAGCCAGACGAGCCAGATCCACACCTTCCCTGGCAGGCGGCCGAGAAGATGTCAGCAGGCAGCCTGCCCTCCTGTTGGACCCTTCCTGGGGGTCCAGTCTCCTGCCCCTGAGCACACAGGCTGACCCAACCCAAAGCTCATCACACTGATGCCGTGGCTCTATGTCCCGTGTGGTCCAGAGCCAGGACAGAGCGGGGCCTCACACCGCCCAGCTGGCACGGATGGGTGATCTCCTCCCAACAGCAAGCAGTCGTCCCACTGCACCCTCCAGCCACCCTGCCTTGTGCCGCTCTGCTCACCAGCTGACCCCACTGTATTATGGTGAGAGGTAGCTGGGGGGCCAGCCCACGCACCCCAGCACAGACATGCACCTGGCAAGCAGCAGGAGAAACCTCTGCCTCCTCTTGCCCAGGGGGAGAGACCTCCAAACCTTCTCACCAACCTGTGCTCTGGGACCTCAGGCTGATGTTCAACTCTCAGGCAGCAGCACCTGCCAGATGTGCTCCCCACCCTCTCCACTGCACCCTTCCACCAGGCACTGAGCCTGGCTCTCACCAACCCCTAGTCCCATCCCACCTGGCCTGTGATGCTGCAGAAACCCCATAGGAAACCCTGGGGAGCACAGAAGCTGCAGCACAACTGGACTGACATGCTTGTGTCTGTGTGTCCTAGCAGCTCCTGAAGAGCATCCCTCTGCCAGCAGGTCTCAGCTCTTACCCTCTGATGCTTGTGGCCTGGGTCAATGCTTAAGGGTAATACTACAGAGCAAAGTTGGTGGTTACGTGCTACAGATTGTGCACAGTGGGTCTTTCTGACCCACCTCAGGTTACCCATCCATGCCACAGGCAGATGTTTTCCAACCTCAGAGCACTGTGGGAGCAGTTCCCAGGACTTCAGGTCCATCACAGAGCTGCTGCACAGTAATAGATGGTTACCAGTGTCTCACAGTTACACTGAAAGGGGGCAAGTAAGGTTTCAGAAAGGTCTGCCCTGCTGCAGCTACTGCTCTGCTTTTCCATGAATGACTTAAATGACAGAACAGAGTATGTTTTGAAATCTGCCCATGACACCCAGCACTTTGGAGGTCAGGATGGGAATTTGACATGCTCCCGACAGAGTGGGGAAAGGGCTGAGAGATGATGGGCAGGGCTGTAAGTCATTGGGAGGTAAAAGACTGCACAAACAGACTACAGAAGAAAAGACAGCAGCATTTCTGCCAGAAGGGTCATAAGGGCTAAAGGGGAGCACGAACTGAACATGAGCCAGCATGTCGTTGCCACAAAAAAAGGCAAATACAGTAGGATGTATGAAAGGCCAGCTTATAAAGACACGTGAAGTAATTACACTGTTCTCCTTTCAGCTCATAAAGGCACATCAAATAATTATACTGTTCTCCAGAGAACTAGTTCATTCCCCAAAAGATTTGGACCAACTGAGAGGCCACCAAAGACCAGCAAGACCACCAAAAAGCCTTGGACAAAAGCCTGGAAGAGTGGGGCTAGTCTAGACAAGACAAGTCAGAGGACGTGGTTTTATAACATATAATGGTCACTGCAAAAAAGGTCAAACAGCCTGACCTTGAACTTTGTGCGCAGTAGGAGACACATTCATATTACGAGAGTCAAGTGCACACCAGGAAAAGCTAAAGCGCCCCATGCATATCTGCAAAAGGTGTTACAGGGCAGATGGATGGACCAAGTGAGTCCTCAGCATCCTCTTCAGCTCAGCCTCCACGTTTCTCATCAATCCTGCTGGCACCTCTGTCCCTGCCCTTATTCATTCAGCATTTGTCACCACCTGGGCAAACCACAGCCACCTTGTCCACGAAGCTCTCAGCATGTGGGACGGTCTGACAGAGCAGAACATTTAGAAGGCTTCCCAGCACCATGGAGCCCATCACATTTGTTCTCTACTCTGCAGAGGTCTCCCTCAGAGTCTGGTGCCCCCCCATCTCACTCTCCTCCTAGAGGCACATCTGCAGCACCTCTGATATCTAGGCACCACAGTCACTCCGATATGACAGAAGGGAAACCAGTCACAAAACTCACCTTAATTTGCTTGAAGTGCAAGATACATCCCTGTGACTTGCCTTTCCTAACTTCTACCCACAGGACTACCAATATTTAAAGCAAGTTGAATGTCAGAAGCTTACAAGACACTCCACTGCACATCCTCTGCCCTGGGGAAAGGATGAGAGACCGTGTGAGAAGCGTCGGTTAAGTTCCTCATTGCTGCAAAAACATATGTGGGACAGAAGCTCTTTGAC